AAATGATATCCGTGAAAGCCACTATAGTGGCGCGTCGTCCTGAAAAATGATATCCGCGAAAGCCACTATAGTGGCGCGTCGTCCTGAAAAATGATATCCGCGAAAGCCACTATAGTGGCGCGTCGCCCTGAAAAATGATATCCGCGAAAGCCACTATAGTGGCGCGTCGCCCTGAAAAATGATATCCGCGAAAGCCACTATAGTGGCGCGTAGTATCTAAAAGGTTAATGTTCTGAGTCTTTTTTATAAATTTTTCCTAGTGTATAAAATACCATGTGAATATGACAAGTGTTATATAGGACAAACGAAAGAAAAACTCAAAAAAAGAATAGATCAACATAGGAATGATTGTAAACCTACTAATGTACAAAAAACCAATACCACCGTGTTAACTGAACATCATTTTAAAACAAGACATAATTTTAAATTTGACACAGCAACTATTTTAGATTTAGAAAACAATTGGTATAAAAGAAATATAAGTGAAATTTACCACATAACAAAAAATAATACAATTAATTATAGAACTGAGACGAATAATTTATATATCATTTATAACGAAATTTTAAAGTTTAATTATCATAAATAGAACATAGGGCACCATAATATAGTGAGGATACTTAGACTATTAAACACTAGTCTTGATAGAATCAGTTTGATTACGTGTTTTGAATTTAACAGATTTAGGATTAACGATTAGCTAATGTGAAGTACAGTTTGTTTTTAAAAAGAATATAATAATGTATGTCTTCAGAAGAATTTATAAAAAAGACTCAGAATATTAATGATCAAGGTCATATTAAAGAACCTTCTTGTAATGTTTATAATATGTATTTTTTTAAAAAAAAGTCATAATAAAAATTTTCAGTTGCTAAAGAAGTCCCGATAAAGGGACAAAACATTTAATCAGATCAAAACAAATGTTCTAAAAAAATGTTTCAATTTGTCCAATTTCCTTAAGACACTTTTATTAATAATTTTATTTTTGGACGAGATAAACAACTAATTGATTATAAAGTTATTAGTTTCTGTAGATAAAATGGTTAGAAGGAACAAAGGAAAGGAATAAAAATATAATATTAATTAGGAAAACTAAAAAAAACTATTTACAGTTTCACAGTACAATGTTTTCAAGTTTTCAAACATTACATATACCTAATCTTATAATTATATTTACATTTTTATCTTCTTCATATTCATATTATTTCTATCTTCATATTTGTCGTGATAGGTTTATTTCTTTTCTTTAATATAACATAAAGAAGATTAATAAAAAAAAGTATGAGAAGGGGAAAAATAAATAGAAAAAGAAAGAAAGATAAAGAAAGAGAGAGTGAGAGAGAGAGAGAGAGAGAGAGAGAGAGAGAGAGAGAGAGAGTATATCTTATATACATGTAGGATTCCTTTCTTCTCAATCAGTCTTTCTGCGAATATCTGAATATTGAAGAGTAGGAATACTGGTGTTAATAATAAATTGTTCGTTAAGATGAATAGATCAGTTCAATGTAAATGCAATTTATTCTGATATAATACAATAATAGATGTTCACTGCTTGATGGTTAAACGATGACTCGTGATGTGACCGAAATTATTACATTTAAAACATTTGAGACCTTTATCTTTGTCTGGACAGAAACGATAACTGTGTGCTTCCGAACCGCATTCGTAACAGCGGTCTTTCTTTATCGCCGGAGATCTACCGATACGTGTCGACGCTACGTTTCCATGATTGCCTTTTCTAAATCGCGTTCCTTGTACGGTACTTTCTTTAAGTTTATCAAATATTTTAATGCATCAAACCTCCTTTAACGCGGTAAGTGCGTTCCGCGTTATATGGAAACCGTGTTATAAGAAACTCGGATTTAACCGTACAAACCAAGCTAATTCGTAGCGCGTTGTATGGAAACCGGCTACCGCGTTGTATGGAAACAGCGCTATAAGAAACACAAATTTTAGTACAAATCACATCATTC